TTATCTCTGCGTTGTATTCGATTTCTTAATCTGTTATTGATTATGTGGTTTTATAATGCTCATCTTTTATTGTTTACTTGTTGGCTTGGCTTGATGGAAACTGTAAATAATTTCGCAGATACGCATGCGCGTTTCCAGTTATACAATGAGAAAATATTGGACTTTCACCTGCAAACACCGCTGAAGACTTGCATTTTCTTATACCTATAGATTTTATTATTCTGATGATGTGATCTCCGTTAGCCTTGCTTAAGTCATTTTCTCAAGAAATGATGCGGAATCTGCTTGGTTTCAGGTTGTTTTTGCCAAAGTGATTACTGTTTATGTTGCAATAAATAAAAAAACCATCGTAACGAATCAACCAGCTTCAAGTGTAAGTTTAGTTGTTTTTGCAAATGACCACGGCAATTGTAGTCAAGTTTCTGCGAAGCTGGAAAATAGTCATCCAGTCAGCGCATCTAAAGTTAGGTTAATGATGGTCTTAAACTAATATTTCCATTTTGATGGCTCCAACCATTTCTTCATCTAGAGATCAAGTTCTTATGGAAGTTGTACCTATTATCATATAAAAAATATATATTCTAATTAGGGGGTGTTTATTTCACCAAAAATTTTAGCATTTGGTATGGATTACAAGTTTTGGGATCAAAAAGTGAGTTTTTTGTATTTTGGGATTTCATATATGGTGTTTGTTTTAAGAAAATTTTAGAATATTGAATCCAAAAAGTGTAAAAAGTGCCCAATTTTTAGAATTTGTCAAATCCTCTCAATTGAAGAGGATTTTAACAAATCTCATAAATGTGTGTGCTTACCTCTCAATTGGAGAGGATTTGACAAATCCCAATCTTGTCTTTTTGTGGGAGGTAAACTTACCAAAATAGCATATTCATCCTATTACAAAATTTTGGTATTTGGTAATGCTACAATTTGAGCTTGAAGCAAACAAAGTATTACAAATTGTAGTATTCCAAATCCTAAAATATTAACGAAACAAACAACATTTTAGAAATCCCAACCAATAACAAAACACATATGAATTTCAAATCCCAGGATGAAATCCATATTCTAAAGTTGCTTGGTCCATATCCATTGGATTTATGCAGCTCTTTCTTTTTCCGGTGTTTGTTGTCTAAATCGAGACAAATGTTGAAGGGGATGGATCTGTTGCCTGTTAAGTAATGCTACTAAGAATAGAATCTCTTTAGACAATATATATCTCTTAGCAATTTATAAGATTCCATAGGAATTTATTTTTTTTAAAAATTACATGTGGTCATGTTGATAAAATGGAGTTATCCTCAATGTATATGATTGGTTGATTAGTATTTATTGACCGTGGTGTGATAATTTACCAATCCCACTTTGCAATTGGCATACAGCTTTTAGTCTTCCTATTTTCGCACTCGCTTTCTTTTCAACAGAGGAAAAAAGATCGTAGATCCGAGTCCATTTGGTTAGATCCTTTGCGTATGGTTGTTAAATTGCCAAAAAAAAGTAGAATAGCATAAGAATTGGAGACAATACACAGATGCGTGGCTTGATTATAAGTAAATTTTTTTTTTGACAAAGGAACTTTAGCTAGCACCCTGGGCTCGGCAGGAAAAATATAGTCAATTGTTTAACTAACATTTTTATATTCTACCCATGATGATAATTCTACCTATAATGATAGTCAAGGCACTGTTGAGCGCTGCGGAAGCTAAACAACCAAACCAACGTGCTACGAGAAATCAAATCAAACGAACGTCGAGAGAATACCAAACGAACCAAATCAATGCCACAAACATAGACACCAATTTTAACGTGGTTCGGCAAGTTACCTACGTCCACGGGGCAAGAAGGGGATAGTGTTTTTCACTAATAGAGAAGAAGAGTACAAACTAAGATTACAAATCACTCAAACTCACCAATTAATCTCACAAACAAATCTCTAATTCTCTCAAAAAAAACTCTAACCAATAGCTCAGAAAATATCTCTTTTCTGTGCTCTAAATATCCCTAATTTTTTTCTCAATTCTCTCTTCCAATTGTTCCATATATATAGAAATCCTAAAATCATAAACATTGTAGGAATTCTAAAACAAAAAACAAAACAGATTAGAAATCCTAATAACCTGTTACCAAAACAGATTTGGAATCATGTTACCAAAACAGATTAGGAATCCCGATAACATGTTACCAAAACAAATTAGAAAACATATTAGGAACCTGCTATCCAATAATTCTCCACCTCGGCGAAGTTTTTCCAAAACTGAGCCGACTCCAATACCAATCAAACGTCTCACTTGTTGCATCCAGTATGAAGTGGAACAAATCCATGACAACGGACACAATCCACAACAAGTCGAGAACCCAAACGAGAATGCGAACAAACTCCAAATGTCGGTATCAACTCACCAAACCGGCTGCATCATAAATTACTGCATACGTATCCTCTTGCCCAAGGAATCAAGCCTTCACGTAGTTCACCCAAACGGCCTCCAAAGGTCATCAATCAAATAGAAAAGTTTACAACTCTTCACTAATATCACCAACGGATCTGTAACTGATAGCGCTCCCAATGGTCCCAAACTGAAACAAATCAAACACCTCCACTTGAGGTGAATCAATAGTCGTATCCAAAACAGGTCCACCAGCTGCACTCGAATCCAAAACCAACTCATCATCTGCATCAAAATCCAAATGATCTTCAAACTGTGTCACCTTAGCTAGAATCCCAAACGATGCAGTATGATCTGGAGTATGTGGAGTAATCTCCACCCAATGTGAAGTAGCATCACCCTTCACCCGCTGTGATATCCCAATGATCTGATCAACACTCTCCATTTGTCGAAAGTCAAACTTGACATACATGCTCAGAACAAAATTAGAAGCTCATAACTGATAATCAAACGAACCTCTGAATCCCAAACGTGCAATCGGATCAAATCTCACATCCTCGATGTGACCAAATGTTGGACAACCAAATATCTGACGAAACCCAAAATCTGAAGCAACTCCACCAGATCCAAAATATCCACATGCAGCAGTCAGTAACCTGTGACCAAGATAACCTAAATATGTCGAAGCTCCAAAACCAAAACCAATGCTCGACAACCATCAACGATCCCCCTCCAGTAAGAAACGACCTATAAAAACTGTCATCTCATCTCGTCGCCCCAATGTCTCTACCTCAATGAAGTGTCTCAAACTTCTATGAGCTCGACACAAATGCAAGAAAGAAACCCTACCAAAGCTAGAACGACGGGTTACCTTTCTGTCAATACACTTCTTCCAATTGTTATTGACTTCTAGGACTTTACACTACCGGGACCTGGTTACAACCCACTAATGCCTAGAACAATCCCCAACTGCGAAAACCAAATACCGATTACCTCCCAATAACGCCTCCTTGGAAGGCCGCCAAATGCCTGACTGAACACCACCTAAAAGACCCCTCGATCGATGGATAGAAGTACCAAACTCCACCTTGATCTTCTTGCTCATATCAATGTGCTCAAAGGACTTCAATCTGTAGGTCAAAGCACTCCTTAACAAACCATCCACGACATAACCAACCAATCAAATAACCCAGCCTCAACAAATACCATAGTCTAGCCAAATCCAAACAAGTCATCAGCTCTCTATCAAACATCATGTTCCCAATCAAATAATATAAATTATTCCTCCTGACACCCTTCATTCTAATCATGGACCTCAATGTGACCTTCAAACGTGAATCGACCAAGATCACCCTATAGCCTGTTGCCTCCAAAACTCTAAGTAAAATGATGTTCTTCTTCAACTGAGGAACGAACCTCACTCCAACCAACTCCCGAATCACTCCGTCACTCATCCTAATCCGAACAGTACTGATACCACCAATAGGACATTCATGATCGTTACCCATGAGTACGACCTCCCCTCTTTCCAACTTCTAAAAGCTGGAGAACCAATCACTCTTAGGGAAAATATGGTAAGAAGTACCCGGATCCAACATCCACTCTGTAGAGTCGGCAACACAAACTGACGGTAGTGCAGATAACGAGTAGCCCGAAGAATCTAAATCTGAATTATTACCACTAGCCTTGACAACATTCATCTCTGAAGCTTGAATAGCTTTCCTTTTATTCTTCCCGGCTCGATCAACCAACTTTGGGCATTCAGCTTTCTAATTTCCATCATATTTACAAAAGACACACTGATTCCTACGAATTCCAAGATGTGACTGGGACCTCCTACCACGGTTTGGACTCTTTGCTCTTACGACCAATGCCCCCGCTACCAGCTCAACTGAAGTCTTATTATCCTTCTTTCGAAACTGATAATTCACAAGTGCAGTGGCGACCTCTCTATAAGAAAGAGATGCCTTCCTATTAATAAGAGTAAGAACGAAGGTCTCATATTCCTCATCAGGTAAGGCACTCAACAACGACAATGCCTTGTTCTCATCTTCAATCATCACATCTACATTTGCCAAATCCGTAAGAAGCTTCGTGTAGTGGTTCATGTGATCACCAATGGAGGTCCCCTTCTTCAATTGGAAGCGATAAAGCCTCCTTTTCAAATGCAAGCGGTTCTCTACACTCTTGGTCAAATATTTGACCTCTAGGATCTCCCAAATCTTCTTAGCCGAAGTCTCATTGATCACATCATATTTTAAATCTTGAGTCAAACAAGATCTAATCACACCACACGCCGTTCTATTCATCTTTTATCAAACATTCTCCTCAATATCGTCCGGTTTCCCATCCAACTCCAAAGTATCTTCTAAATTTTACGCATTGAGCGCATTCAAGAGTTCACATCTCTAAAGACTAAAATTGTTTGTGCTATTAAACTTCTCCACATCTATCTTCATAGAGTAGATATTCAAAATTTGGACGGTCTTCACGTCGGAAGTACCCTCCACAAATCCTTCTTTCTCGACCATCTTTCTCAAAGCACCAAAACAAATACGGAACAAATGAAGAATAGATCCAAAACAAAAAAGATAGA